GCTCTGGGGCACTGAGGCTGCTTTGGGGCTGCTCTCAACAGGACACGGCAGCTCCTCGAGCTCATCTGGGTCAAGCATGGCCTGGGCAGCAGTTCTACATGAGACAAATTACGATTATGAAGCAATGTCTACATGAAAGAAGTTAGAGGCCAGCAGTATTTAATGCACATAACAGAGAGAGCAGCAGTCATTGGCAGAACTTGTATAGCAAGGGCTATAGAAGAAACTCTGGGCACACAAATATTTTTAATGGTAAAGGCAATGACAAATGGATGTTTGGCCTATTAATCTGAAAAGATCCGTCATCCCAGTCACGGAAGCTTAATATTGGAGGCAATCAGTAAATAATTAAAGGATGGCAAAGACCATTACTCTCTACACATTTTCCTGGAAGTGAGTGTAGTCAAACACGGATGACTGCAGGATTTTTTAATGAAATGGCGAGTTCCATTGGTAAAGTTAATTGTACTGATATAAACTCCAACAAAGTAACACATTCATATTAAAATGCACTAAAATCAACAAGGTGATAATATTGAGTAACTGGGAACTGAAAGCCACCATTCCCTGTACGGGTCCCACAGACCCAATTCCTTGTCCCACTCTTTTTCCATAGCTTTGGGTGACAACAAGCTGGGACACAGCACCCAAAGACGATCAGGGCAGGTTCAGAAAGACTGGCCAGTGTCTGCCCTAAGCCTCCTCCTAAAAGACTTGAGAATAACAGTAGTTAAACAAATGAACATGAGCTTTTGTTATAATATACTCAGGAGGATGTGAGGACAAGCTTTAGGTTCATAATATTAAGTTGATTTCAGGATGTGCTATTACAGCTGTGTGCAGCTTTATTGAAAATGTTAGTGGGAATATTGGATCAGGCCTCGAAGTGTATTCTGAAACTAGAAAAGTTTAAAAAAAAGAGTTCAAATGAAAAAGTCAGGAAAACTTGCCCTAATCTGTTACAGCTACCCAAGAAAGAGTTAAAAGATGATTTAATCAAAGTCAGCAGGTATCTACATAAGAAAGAGATTTCTGATAACAAACAGCTATTTAGTCCTACAGAAAAAGGCACAGTAAGAGCCAGTAGTTGGAAGCTGCAGCACTTTCTCGAGCATGGGCCATTAATCATTGGAACAACCTACTGCAGGATGTGGTAGATCATTTGAAGTCTTTAAATCAAGACTTTGCATCTTTCCAAAAGAGATGCCTTCTCTGAAGCAGAAAATTTGCACCTGATGTAGAAACCTCTRTTGGGGTTTACACCCTGAATTACTCAAGGGATCAGGTGTGAGTCCTTAAAATCTATAAATTAAAGGAAGTAAAGGAAGACAGCACAGCTGTGTGGAAAGCATAGTAAAGACAAGTAAGTGGTGGTATTAGAGGGGAGAGTAACTGGYTCTTGTGTCTTCATCCCTAAAATTGGTGTGACTATTTATAAAAGAAAACTTACAGAGTAGAAGCATGGCGAGAAAAAGTGAAAGATAATCTTTTTAAAATATTTGCCTTCTGTGCTTTAATCACAGTGGGATAAAGATATGCTTTTTGCTTAAGTTCATCTGATGGTGATCTGGCTAAGAATGGTGATGGGCTCACCACTTATTTATGAACTGTGGAGTCTTGGRATGGTTAAAAAAATACCCTTTGGCCTTCTCTCAGCTAAATCTGATTCCTCGGGGAATTCAGTCATGCCCGAAGGAGACYTGAAGAACAGAAACTTTTGACTTCCCTACAAAGAAACTTTCCTTTCCCCTGTCCCTGAAGCCCAGGAGCCCCAGTGCCCAGAATCTGTGCCGAAACCTGGAGCCTTTCAGGGCTGTTGGCAAGGAGAGAAAGGACTCGAGTTCCCACCTGCTTCGGGCCTGTGGGAGAAACTGTGCTCAGGGATGTGAGGCAGGCTCGGATATGCAAACAGCTGCTGGCTGGAAGGGCCTGTTCTGCACTCACGGGGCTCCTCACGATCAGAGGGGAGGAGTAAAGAGTGGGATTCGGGGRTTGTGCTGGCTTTGCTCCATCTGTCCCTGGGGAGCCGGCAGCTCTGGCCCTCACCCCTGTGAGGTGCACGYGGCCTGGTGCACGTGTGGTGCATGCGGCCTGGCTCCAGCGCCTTCGGGACCAAAGGAGAGGCGTGGGCAGACACCTCCCAGCCTGTCACCCCGGCATGGGGCAGTGTAGCTGTGTGCACACGTGTGTGTGGTGTATGTACACGTGTGTGCTGTATGTGCATGTGTGTGCTCTACGTGTGTGCCGTTGCCCTTAGGGAACAGGCCAGGTTTCCTATGGGAACGAGTTGTGAGTGCCCTGCGCTGCTCCTTGGGCGCTGGGCCCAAAGCTCGCGGGGCCTCTGAGAGCRGCTGTAGCACCAAGGAGAGTCAGACACCGCGACTCCGTGCAGCTCCTCCGGCTGGGCCCCGAAGCACCTTACCCGTCTTGCATGTTTTGCCGTTTACATTGTTGAGTCACTTCTACTTTTCCCATGAGCTTACAAAAACATTGAATTGACTGCAGCAAAACCCAGGGTKCTTCTCCCCAGATGAGCCTATTTGAGGCTTCCTTCTTCCACCAGCTGCTGTGGGCTGGGCAATCTCCGTGCCCCTGGGAGCTCTGTTGTGCCAGGGATGGTGGCATAACCCAAAGTTGGGATGACCCAAAGTGCCATCTCTGCCAAGACTGGGCATCTCCAAATTATCCTGCAAGGGTAAGAGCCAAAGCCAATGTCCCATGTGTCCCCTGGCCGAGACCTCTCCACCCTGCTGTAAGAGCTGTTTTGCTTTGGGGCTGCGTGARCCTGCAGTTTCTGGGTGTTTGTATTTTGTTTTGTTCTGAAAATGGCAAGGGGTATCTTTGAGATCACTAGAAATGTGGTTTATATAGGCATGGTAGAAGGCCGCTGTAAGCTAGGAAAATAAAATATGAAATTATTATGAGAGACATACAACTGTCTTAAAATAGGAAGTGATGAGTTCTTCAAGTTCACAAAGTGTGGTTATTTTTCTATTTAATTTTTCTGAGTGCCTGTGAGTATACAGAGGCCTAATTGGAGAACAGGACTGGGTTTGTTTATGAGCAAGCAATAAAAACTCATCTATCAGGCTCACCAGTACACGAGGCAAATCATAAATTACCATCTCACTCTTGGCTTTATGGGAACAAGGRCAGTTGCCCTGTATGAGGATTTGCCCCCTGTTTTTGAATCGGGAAAACTAAGCACTTTGCTCCTGGCTAGGATGAGCTTAAAAGGAATTTCTTGTAATGCAACCCATCCTTGAAATACAGCTCCCTCACACTTGCATTCTCCGTGTCATCTAATAGGGGCTTCAAATGTATACTTTTCAGTGTTTTTATATGACATTGTTGGGACGTGGAAAAAAATATTGGCAACATGATTCCTAACAGACTCCGCATGAAGTCATCACACGTTTGGCTTCCTGCTCGACATAAATCCAGCCTCTCGCAGACTGTGCTGCTCACGTGACATCCCCGTGAAGCAGCTGCACATGATAAGAGCTGCTCTGCATAATTCGCTTTGAAGTGTCTCTGCGATAGGACTGACCGGATGATGTGCTCGTGCGCACCCGTGCGAGCCCCTCTCCCCTTTGCTGCTGCTGCTGCGGTGTTCCCGCAGAAATGTGTGCGGATTGCGGGTACCCGTCAGATACACGTGTGCCTTGCAAACAGGCTGCATCTTACCCAAACACCTTCATGGTCAAACAGCTAGAAATAATGGCTGTGTCTCCCCCACCCTGAGAAAGCTGAAACTGCTAAAATTGGATGGACTGTGGATTGTAATGGACTGCTGCCATTAGCCAGTATGAGCACTTGACAAAACATCTGATTTACCAACAAATGCCTGCTCTGTCTTTCCATCAGCTTTCTCTCAAGTCCAAGTGCGCATTGTTTTCAATCATTAGCTTTTAAAACATGATTTCATTAGCATTGTCTGACAAAGAGAATAGTTTATGTTTACGCTGGGTGACAACATCTCTGTCTTTGGAGATGCTCAATTGTCTATTTTGCTCCTTCCAAGGGATGGTTTTGCTGAGTGGAGAACCACGTCCTTGCATGTTCGTTTTCTGCATCGCTTGCTGTACACAAAGCAAAGGAAGTGCCTATGAAAATGCAAATGGCTTGAGCAGCRTGGGGAGGGCTAGCGCGCGAGCGGGCTGCTCGGCGCGTGACGGGGTGCCRCGCAGACGCGCAACGGGAGAAAGTTGGGATGCAGATTTATGGCTTCTTCCTTCTCCCCCCCCATCCTCAAATAAAAGAAACATTTAGAGGGCACAAGTTTAAAATCCTTAATCTTACTAGCTTGCRTTTGGCTCTTTGTCTTTCTACATTCAAATGAAGCACCTCATGAAAATTGGGTTAGGACGGTAAATAAAATCAAGGTCAACTTTTTATTAACTTTTGTTTTTACATCCTCTCTGTTGAAATGCTTTTGCTCTCAAATCTCCTGCTGCAGCCTCTGGATGTTTAGTGGCAATACTGCCGAGACTTTTAGGTTTTATGGATTCTCCAAGAACAATATAACGTGATACTGACAATCATAAACAGATACTAACTTGCTTCAGTTTAGAAATGATTGCAGCCATATAACCCTTGGTGGCCTCTTTTATATGAACTTTTATTTTTCTCTGTACAATGGCTAACACGGGAACTGTCCCCAATCCAATAGAACAGCTTGTATTTGCTCAGGAAATGGTTAAGTTACAGCAGGTCACCCCTGTTACTTCATGGAAATGCTTTGATTTGTCTTCCATACTAAAACAGTTAGAGTCATTTGTTTTACTAACAGCTCCCCTCAGAGCAGAACCTCAATACTATCTTAAAAAAAATTAACTTCACACATGACTTTGTCAAGAGGCTTATCTGCAGCTCTGGAGAGTTCACATCTCATAAAATCCAGAGACAGCATAGTTAAGAGGACAGACTTCAGAAATGCTTTTTCCTTTCTTTCTGTTGCCCATACTACCACTTTGACTGTAATATTTTCCAGGAGACTTTCCTAAGCATAAAAAATATCTGTACTTGACCAGCCCCGACCAACCAGACCATTACCAGGAGGTTACTGCACAAAACAGAGGTCTTGTCTCCTAACTGTGCTCTGGTTAGATCCAACTTTGAACTAACAGGTATGTTTGTGGTGGTCTCATTTTAAAGGMACTTTTGAGAGCTTCCAGCAGTCTGAAGAATATTTGGCATGCCTAAAAGTAGGGAATAAKTCTGGATTACTTTCCCAAGGGGAAAAGAAGCCCCAGAAGGAGATAGCTAAGGCACTTCAAGGATACGGACAGGGTGTGATGGTGGGAAATGTGGGGTTTGTGACGAGCTTGTGACATGAAACTCCTTGTTAAATCCAAGAAAGTCTTGTTGGGGAAAAAAAATCCTCATGACTGTACCTCTTAATTAAACTGTAGTTTAGCGCTATTAAATTCAGGGTTGTTATTTTGGTTTTGTGGGGTGTTTTTTGTTTTATTTCTTTTTTTTTTTTTTTTTTAACATCTTGGTCAGTTGCAAATACTTTCTATGCTGGAAATAGAGGAAAATAAAAGATTTCTCTTTGTTACAATTTCAAAGCACTTCACATTCACCACAACCCGTCTGCAAACAGTAAAGCGCAGAATACCAGCCTGTATCAAGTCATTAACCTTTTAGGACTCAATCAAAGCACTGTTGTGTGACACTTTATTAATGAATGCTTTAATGTGGTATATAAAAGCTAGCAAACATGGAAACTGGCAATGATTCATCAAATTTAATATTCCATCAAACATTTCATTTTGAAGACTGACACTTTTTTTAAAAAATAACCCAAAGGAATGCAAGTTCAGAGAGGTGCCTTAAATGAAATACATCCCTTTCCTTTCAGGACTTTTTAAAAATTGCTATTTTTGAAAAGCAAAGCAAAAATTWAAAAAAAAAAAGAAAAATGTATTAAAATTTTGAAGTGAAGAAAATAACATTTTGAACGTGTTTTATGGAATCGGTTGGAAGATAGAAGGAAGTTGTCCTTATAAATACACTTGCAGTTTAGGTCACACATTGTCTGCAGTCATTGCTAGGAGGCAAAAGCCCTGTTGTAAAACAGCTGGGCTTCTTGGCTTGGGGCAAAGGCAAATTCCACAGTCGGGAACCTAATTAGACACTTTTGGAATTTGCAGCACCCTTTCATGCTATGACCTTTTTCTTTCTGCCTTCCCCTCTCTTCTCTCCAGCTCCCCCCAATCTGTCCTGCCCCCAGATGAGCATTTGATCCTCTCCTTAATAAATATGTTGCTTTTTTTTTTCACATAAACACTGTCTACCGGGCAAATTCAACCCTGCTGGTACCGAGAACAACTTGGATTTATGTCCTGGCTAAATTTGTCCCTGTAATCCATTTAACTCCTGAGCAAATCTAAGCTTATCCGGCCTCCTAAACGTTTTCAGAAACGTGKCCTGCACAACAGTGGTGTCAAAGAGCCAGTTTCATCTGTCCTGGAAAATTCAGAAGTCCCCAGAGAGCTCCCATCTGGCCCTGGGATCAAAAGCAAATTATTGTGACTTTTATAAAACAGAGACAAGGTCCAAACGGGATCCAGTGCCAGCATGCCCACCTGAATGTGGAAAGCCCAGGTTCAAATTCCTGAAAGGACTTGAACCTGGGCCTTCCATGTCACAGGTAAATGCACCAATTCCTGGCCTTTTAGGAGCCTTTTTCTTCCCCCCCCCTCACCCCCTAGACTGAAGTAATGACTCTGTTCTGAACCTGACTTTCCTTATTGAAAAATTTTACATGTCACAAAACATTTTTATGGTATGATAGTAGGTTTGGGTTTTTTGGGTTTTTGTTTGTTTCTTGTTTTTTCCAATGAGCAGTGTGTATCACCCCTAACTTGCTGTCCTCTTATATCCTCAAACAAACTTTTTCAGAACTTTTCTGAAGGGAAGGCGCATACTAATAAAAATGTGACTTGTGTCAAAAAGAAACAATATCCACAAACAGTCACTAGAATCTGGGCATCTGGTGAAATAAGTAACTGTAACAGAATAAAAGGCTATTAAGTGCCACTGAAGATGTATAATTTACAGTTAGACTATTATATATCATTTTCCTAAATTGTTTTCGTGATGTAAGTTGTACTTCTTATCCAAACTCCTTCCCAGCCRAAGAACATGTTGCTTCACGTGGGTTTCTGACTTAACAAAAAATTGCAGGATTCATCTATTAAAAATAAAAGTATGATAAATAGGATATTTTAACTGAATTGGGTAATAAGGAACTGCTGTGCCACTCTTCAGAAATATCTATAACTCATTTATGCCTTCTGGTATTTGTACAGCATGTTGAATCATGAATCACAGAGTAGCTATCATAAAGAAAACAATGCCTCTTTGACAAAAAATACGTTTAACTCGACTGAGATTTACAGTAAAGATGCATGCATACATTTTTAAAATCACAGATGCTATTATGTTAAACTGGGGGACTTGTTTTTGTAAACCTGTGGACTTCAGTAGTACGTTTCCTGTTCCAGCTTCCAGAGGAGCGTTAATGAATTACTTCTTTCCCTGTTCCATGAAGAATTGTTCTCACTTCACTGATGGAAAAACGGAGGCAGAAACGCTAACAGCAGAAGTGTGGCTCAAAGCAGGGGGTAAGAGTAAAGCTGATTTAGGCAGCTTGCCTCTCTCCTCTTTTCCATCATCCCTGTCCCAAGTAATACAGACCTTGCTTCCACTTCAATTACCCAGCAGAGGGGATTTCTCTCTGGCTGCCCCTTTCCCGATCAGTGAGCTTATACCGAGGCCAGGTTTTTGTGCCCTCAAAAATCTCCCTTTTCCTCCAGTCCAGAACAGGGCATAGGCAGTACAAGCCACTGCAATTTGCATGGGATTAAATATTTAAATCAGAAAAAAAAAAAAAAAAAAACAACGCTGATTATCATTTGGAAGCATCATTTTAATCATAAACTGGAGCTCCAAACAAGCCCAAGCACGCGTGATTGCTACCTGGTCAGCAGCATCAAGGTCCCCGGAAAAACTAATTAGTATGTTGCTATATATCTGCATAGCTCCGAGATAAATGTTGTTTGTATCTCCCTCCCCAGCGACAGAACAGAGCCTGTTCAGTAAAACACCCCACCTCTTAATATGCAGGGTTTGTTATAGGCGCAGCTCAATTCATATTTCCCCYGGTTTGATGGTAAGTGAACAGCAGTAGCAATATTAATCTGCAGTAACCTGTCAGTGAACTCTGCAGCTAATATGATGTAGTTATGATTTTACCATCAATCAGAACTGAACAGGCCCTGGACAATCCTTACAGCACTGCCTCAAAAAATCTAATTGTGCTAAAGCTTCATTGGTTTCCAACATTTCTTTTTTATCTGTCACAGACTTTTGGCCTACTACACAACCTTTTATTATTGGTCTTATTGCATTAGCTTGTTGGGCAAAAAAGAAAAGGCTAAATCTAAGAGTTCCCCTGCATTCCATCATTTGTTACCGTGCGGGATCCTATCTGACAGTTCCATATTATTTTAGATTTAGATAAATATTATTAGGACATATGGTATTGTGTGAACTTTTGAACCACTGATTGCCAATGTATTTTTTTAAAAAAGAGAGACACTAATAATATTTTCACTTCTGCATTTATTTGCATGTGCAAGTGTATAAGAAATATAGAATGAAAATGGAAGAATTAGCTCCTAACACAGCACTGGATTTTAGATGAAATATTAACAGAAACCTTTTTTTTTTGCTGTTGATTTTATTGACAGAATGAAATAATCTTTGAAAATTAATTATTAACACCAAATAGGCACTTTCACAAAAGTTAGCGAGCTTTCTTRGTAATTAAGATACTACCCATTTCTCTGTGCAGGCACTTTTAGTRCATCCATCTATTACGTACCTCTGCAGCTTAAACGAGACGTGTGTGTAAATACCATAAACGCAGCACAGACCTGCATCCTCAGCAAGAATATTTCTTTCAAACACTGGCTGCAAGAGAGAGGCTTAAACATTACAGCCATGTTATTTCCAGTGAGTTTACTAGGCAAGAAGTTCTGGTGTAACTTTAAGATTTTAAACATATAAAAACATCAAGGAAGATGAACTATTAACATTATCTGTTTAGTCATTTTAATCTTTYGCATCTTAAATGTAATCAGGCTTTTCAGAACTGAAATTGCTAATCAGCATGTTGGATAAATGTTTCCATTTTAAAATGTGCACACTTAGACGTAACAGCTGGCTGTAAAGAATATATTTATATTTGTGATTTAATGTATCACAAACTTTATATTTGATTTCATTTAGCTTTACTGAGAAACTGGGAAAATTTTTGCTGGCATGATCTACTTTGACAGCAGCTTTACAGCAGCAGGAAAGCCCAGAGCGATAAATGAGGTGTGCACACAATGCATTACGTCGCCTTTAAAGTGAGCATCTCCTTTTAATAAAACAAAAATCTTTAAACAATTTCCAGTGCTCCCACTCCTTTCTAACATTTGCTTCATGAAGAGCAGTGAAGGAAGGTTGTGCATGTGCAGAGAATAGAGGATTCGTAGCTCTGTGTTGTAGCGTTTCTTCGTTAATTCAGCAATCTGTATATAAATATCAAGGGAAGATTTTTTCCCCCTTCATAAAAGCAACACTAACTTCAAAGAGATATTTTTTGGGCTATATGAACATCAAATGAATAGCTGAGTTCTAGCCCTCAATCAATCATAACGTAAAGTAATTGTAATCTAATGAAAACAGCCATACAAAATACGGAAATGGCTGTTGCATCCTGTTAAAAACATGCAGGAATGCAGCTTGGGAACTACTGAGAGCGCCGAAGTTGTAGAAAGACAAAAACAGGATGTTAAATTGTTACTACAATTGGAAGCGAGCGGCCGGGCCCGCCRCCGGCGATGATGCGCGGCGCGGCCTCGAGAGGGCCCCGTGCGGCGGCGCAGGCCGCGGCGGCGCATGGGGGGCCGCCCCACTGCGCCCCTGCCCCAAACCTGCCCAAACGGGGCAGGTTTGGGGCAGGGGCGCAGTGGGGCGGCCCCCCATGCGCCTCAGGTTTGGGGCAGGGGCGCAGTGGGGCAACACCGAAAACCCCAAGCCCAGCCCTGCCTGCCGCCATGGCAGTAACAGCAACAAAGAACTTGGCTGCAGCCGACGCAGCTGAGCGGAGCTGCATGTGTTATTTTTCAGGCTACTGCCCTCCAACAGCAAAAGTGTTTGCTCCCCTTCATGTTTTTAATAATTATTTAAATTTTTGGTTTGGAAAAATGGGTTTTTTTTTCTCCCTTCGGCCRAACACCTGGTTTGGGGGGGAAGGCCGCGCTCGGCCCCGCTGCTTCCCCTTCCTCCCTCTGCAAGAGCAGCTCCTTTCTGCTACCTGTTCCTCGGGAATCCACTACAGCACCTCCTTCCTGTTTACTTCCAAAAATATCATTAGATTATTAGTAAAGAAAGGACAAAAAGAAAGTRCAAGTTAGCATGTGGTACAATGCCTGGCCACAAATATAGCGGCAGAATTACAAGCTCAGCTGGTTAGAGAACAATAAACCACGGCCGTTATAAAGAGTTCAAAGATTAATAACAGAATAATTAAGAAGAAACCTCAAGCCATTCTTTAATGAATTTTTTAACAAGAGGAATAACATTTGGGGATTTTTGGTAGCTAACAGCTCCATTAGTCCAGATTCTTCAGACATGAGAACGTTTGGTTAGAAATCTTGATTTTCTCTGAAAAAAAATCTTGATTTTCTGCGAATTATCTGTTTTTATTCTGATCCCTGTGACAAAGCTCACAGGTTGTGACAACCCCATCCCCTTCATGGCGGCCATCACATCAGGGTGACTCTTAACCAGACCCATCGGTGGTGAAATTGATAGAAGTCGAGTACTCAGATAATTCAGTGTAAGGAAGACTAACCTGTATTAGGCACATGGCACCATTTTATGTAAAAAAGAAATAAATGAAGGTTGTAGCTGTCACAGCTTCTACCTCAGATTCCGTAACACCCCTCACCAAGGACAGTCCACTAATGAGAGAGACCCTCTCCTTTCACCGCACCAACGTTGCTCGCCTTACCCTTTGGGAGTCCAGATTCAAACAAAAATTGACCACTTTTGAACAAAATGCCCCGTGGTTTAGGCTCTCCGAGGGATTTTGGGAAAGGCTCGTCCTGGCCACAAAACCCAGTTACAGACTGGGCCCACAGTGGGCAGGGACCTCCTGGCTCTCGTGGGATGGGAAAGCTCCGGGAGAGCCTCTGTGAAGCAAACCCTGCCCTCCACTGCGGTTGGGGCACAGAAGCCYTTGTAAGAGTAGTAAAAATAAAGTGTTGGGCATTAACAGGCATTGCAAGTTGTGCGGYGGTTTTGTGCAAAAGAATTGCCCTTATGGGTTGGGAAACACATGTATGGGACACTTGGGCATCTTAGAGCCAGCTCTGTTTTTGTATATTTAATCTAATTAAATTTGTCTTATATTCTATAAAGCCAAAAGCAACTGAGTAAGATTGTTCATRTGTCAAAAATAAAGAGAAATTGCAAGTAGGATTCCCACCCTAAACTTCTTCAAGAGGTCAGAACTCATAAAATTCTCACTAATTGAAATTAAGGTGAATCAAAAATTGTCTGTTAAATTCAAAATATTAATTTTAAAAATATTTCTCTTTTGACTACGTGAAGTTGTGTTGAGCTAGTCTGAGTTTCAAAAGACAAGACTATTTGAACATTTTTTCCATTAAAAACGCTGACATAAGTGCTCTAAAAATTACATTTTTTCCAGTATTATTTTTTTGATTTGAGCAATTCTAAAACTGAGCCTTCCTTAAAACCAGTTTGGTTCCAATGACTCACTGCTTTTACGAGAAAACATACCATTGTTTTCTCAAGCAAAGCTGCTGACCAGCCCCCATGTGACTCCCTATTCCTTTGGGAAATCCAAAAGAGAATTCCAGTCTTACCACATGCTTGATCCATTGCTTAATGTTTGCACAAGGTAGATAGCCAGTTCTGGAGTATTTTTAATCTTGCATTTTTTAATTTTGGAGTATTTTTAATCTTTTAATCTTTTATACATCACAAAATAACTAATTCAATAATGCAGTGAGGAGATTAATGTCAAGTTTAAAAGGAAAATAAGATTCATAATCAGTGCACAAAAGTGCTTGAAGCCAGGTACTAGACTGACCATTTTCTGACAGATTGATCATAAACATGCAGCGAGGTCAGAATTTGCAAGCTGGTCCTTCCATTCCCATCACAGACCACGGCACGGATGATCATGTAGCCTGYATGCTTTTATTCTAAGGCAAGAGGTCCATAGTTTCCTCTCTAATTGAGCTGAAGGACATTCTAAAATAATGAAYAGGATTTGGTGCAACTCGTATTATTTGTTGTGTGCTGTGCATTCTAGTTTTTATTAGCTACTTCCAGAGCTTATGGACATTTTTAGGAAAGGTTGAATACCAGCAATTCTGAAAGTAGTCCCAAGGCAAGGCGGAATATAAATAGCCCTGCAAGCACAACGAGCTGAAGGCTTCACAGGGGCAAAAGTAAGTTAAATAAATAAAAAATACTGGATGGATATAAAGGTTAGATGTAGGGCAGATTCATGTACCAGAAAATAAAGAATTCATGTGTACAGACTCCATGCTAAGCAGCTCTTTGATGCCAGAGCAGAAAGCTGGGATTTTATTTTGGTCTTGTATGTGCRCCTTGCAAAATGGTATTGACTTTTTCTTCTCCACAGGTCAGGCAACAAATGTGTGAGACCTCCTGATGTCTCAGGAGCCCCTGCAGGCTGTATTTTCTTCTAAGCAAGGCCCTAGCTGATGTTGCAGCACCATCCATCATGCCAGCAACCAGCACGGCTCTGGGGACACGATCTGTTAGTCACCATTGTCTTCGTTAGCTAGCTCTCCAACAGCACAAACCCTACAGCTTTCAGAAAATTTCCAGCAATGGACAAGAAGTGGCTTCACAAAAACCGGGCCAACTGCAATGCGTCCATTGATTTGAACCAACCAAAGCCACCAACCCAAGAGACGTTCTCTGCCACACATCAGCGTTCAGAGGCAGTTTACCCTTTGGATCAAAATGAGATGTGGCCTCTCGAATCTAGTTTTCCTCTCTTCTTAGAAGCATGTAAGGTACAGGAACCATGGATGGAAACCATATGTATCTAGATGTATCTGGACTTCCCGCTTTTTTTAATTTGCTTTTTATTTATAAATACAAAACATACAGGCAGCACAAGTATTGTAGCAAGCACCAGTGCACAGGAGTACAAATTAGTATGCTGCATCAAAAGGATAAAGAAGAGGGCTCAGAGAACGAGGAGAGTAATTTACTGTGCTCTGGTCTCAGCTGCCAGTGATTGCGACGGGAACTTGGCAGATGTTTTTTGATAAAGGTTGTTTCTTGTTGCTGCAACAGCGGCAAAATCCATTGTATTACTCTATAGGACTTTGCACATCATGATTCTGCCATCGCAGTTAGCCTTAACAGCTGGATGATAAAAAAAAAAAAAAATTGTTCCAGTGGATTATTTGAAATTTGTCATGTTGATTTAGTTTCATTACTGTTATTAAATTTTATTCTGGAATGGTTTACATATCAAGAATACATAATGGGTTTCTGTGTGGCCTGGGATTTATTCCTTGAATGAGGAAAGGACTCTACTGTGACAAAGTCATAAAGCCTTATTGACTTGATCCTTTGCCATAAACACAGGATTCAGGGAGTTAGACCGAATATTAAATTGATATGATGGTTGTATTTTCATCAGGAGAATAACCCTGTCCAAAATAAAACCTCATAGTATGTCTAATTCTGTGGAATTGTTTTAGAAATCTCCTACTCCCAGGCATTAATGGGAATATATTCTCCTAATTATGAATTCTGGAGGCAATAAGGGTGAAGAGAACCAACCCAAATATGCATATTTAATATGCTATCCAGCTCCCAAAGCAAAACAAAATATGATAAAAATGTAACAAAATAAAAAGGACACAGACATATGGAAAGGTTTATAGAAACAAATGGATGTTTCTAAACAAAGAAATAATGAACATAAAAGGAGTTTATCAAAATTGACATTTTATTGAAAGAGAGAAASAGCCAGCTGAAATCCTAGATTCAAGCACAATGAAATTACAGGGAATGTTCAAATTTGATTTGAATTCAGCTTTTGGATCTCTTCCTTCCTACTGGGACCACACAAAACTTAAAAACTTTTGAGCTGGATCTCCATTTTGTGGTGTAAGCCAACACTTAAATGTGACTAACATTCTGTCACATACCTTGAAGGTAATTTGCATGTAGAAGAAAGTTGCCATGTCATATAATGTAAATTACTCAAGATCAGATGTCACCTCCAAGAGATATGCTCTTGCTGATTTGTAAATTAAAGACAAACCACAGAAGTTCCTAATTCCTTCACAACATAACTACTCRTGAGTTTCTGCTGAAAGACTGCCATCAAAAGGCAATAAATCTCCAGGAAATAATATCACAATGCAAGCCTTAAAGCACTCATGACTTTTTCCCAACTTTCTCTGGAACATTTCTCTCAAAAGAAAGCAGATGGCAAAATATTCTGTGGGTCAGCTTTTGTGTTCCAACGCTCCCATGGGTTTCCATTAATTTGAGTTGTCTCTACACAGGCATACACAAGAACAGAAATAGCTGGCCATCTTTCCTAAAGATCACTACATTTTTCTTCAAAATACTACAATTTATCAAGATTATTAYTTAAAACTAGCATTGCTGTACTTCAGGATGGACTTGAGATACAGAAATATGGTGAGAGGCAACATGAAACAACACTTCAMGCTGAAGCTCTTGGATCCAGGACATTCCTGAGGCTTCTCAAACTCTTGGATCCAAGATGTTGATGGGTCTAACCCAGAGGCCATCCTTCAGCCAAGAAGGCCCTTGGACAGTTGACCTAACCTTGTTGCTTCAACCCAATACAACTGGGCAAAACTGGGTGCCCTCTGCAAGTCACAAAGTACTGCTGAACTGCAGTTTCCCAAGAAACTAAATCACTAAAAAGCATCAGATTTGTTTATTTACCRGTTTGCTAGGGGGAAAACAAATTCCTTAGAAGGCAGATATTCAGAAGAATTCAGCATTGACCTCATTCTGTCTCCGCTGATGTCAATGAAATCCACTGAAACAGAATAAATGAATGCTCCTGAAAAGTCTCACACTGATATTTTGCAAGCCGTGAAGCAGCTCACAGCGACTGTGTCCTGTGATTTGTTAGGAGCGAACACGGCCTGTGCTGGGATTACGACTGGGCTGGACTGCAGCCCGGCTGGGCAGGGCTGTCGGTGCCTCCTGCGCCAGGGCCGCAGCTGGGAGCCCTCCCGTGGCACCGGCAGCCCCGGCGTACGGCTGCCCATGGGCCTCCGAAGGGCAGCTCTGCAGGGCCTCCGAAGGGCAGCTCCGTGGGGCCTCCGAAGGGCAGCTCCGTGGGGCCTCCGAAGGGCAGCTCCGTGGGGCAGCGGCGAGTGAGCGTGTGGGTGCCCGGCGCCTCTGCCGGTGCCACGGGTGCCAGGCACGGCGCGGAGTGGAGCGGGGCCCAGTGCGGCGCCGTCGCACCAAGTGTTTCAGCCCCAAAAAAGGAAAAACGTCAGCCACGTAAATGCAGACGAGCAGGCTGAATAAGAGCGATCATCAAACATTAATAAATCCGAATTCCTTTCCAGTGTAAGGCATAAACATCAGAAAACATGAAGAGCATGTTTCTAATAACAGAGGATTTCCAACAACAAAWCCAGTAACTCAGGTTCAGCTGCACAGAGGCCAAGTGGAGAGCCACGGCAGAGCTACAGAAACCTGGGCCCTGGCCTTTTGCTGCCTGGTGATCCCTTTGCCTGCTGGCCAGCGTGTCCCTCCCCTTGTCCCTGTGCGCTCTGCCTCTCCAAAGCGAGAGGCCAGAGGGTCAGGGAACAAGAGTGGCACTGAAATACGACTGCTGGCACACAGCAGCAGCGAGGCTCAAACCACCCCCGCCTGGCAGGAATTAAAACCTTATGTCTCTGCTGAGACCTACAGCATGTCCTGACCAGCCGTGCACAGGAAGAAGGAGCCCCATATGAGACCTCTTTGGGTGGGAGGCAGCAGGCAAAGCAGCCAGCCCCTCAGCAATGACTGCCCCATCTTCAGAACACCCACATTTGTTATTAGTCACCTAAACACACACTGTTTTTCAGGTGCTATCATTTCTTGAGCTTGCACACTGTGCACGTTCAATACTGAGCTAGTCACAGAGGGTTTTTTTTTTCTTTCAAAAAGGCTTTAAATTTTCATAATCTTGGAAAGCTGTTAGCTTGACATTACTATTTTCCATAAAACTCACATTCATAACAAGCAATAAAGATGGACGTTTACTGAYGTTCACCCATGAGTCTGCCTCGACCATAGATGTGAAGAGGTCTCCATYAAAGTTAAAATATTGCATAGGCTTCATGCCAGATCAGTCTTTGTTTCTTTGTCAATAAAAGACAGAGTGCCAGCTGTGATAGTAGTTTTATAAGGAAGTCATCTATTTTCTAAAAACTTGATGGAATCTTGCAATTCATTTCATGTCAGCACTCAGCTGCCAATACTATTAATTGACATCAGCTTCCTCCTCATCTCTGAGGAAGAGCTCTTCACTACTTTTGGCCAAGAATACGTGTTTTATTTGACCCTGTGTCTAACTCAACACTGACATTTACTGCTCTCCATTATAGTTCCTCTAGATAGGACAGAATCAAATGAAAGAGACCAGGCATTCTCGCTACAGTCCTTTTTGCAATTTTGCCATTTCTTGTGCAAGATTTGTATCCAAGACACAAGACTGTTGCAGAACATCAATTGACTCCTTCAGAATAAATATGCTTTGAGGCCATTCAGCATATGCACCACAGATTCATAGCACATTGAAATCAATAGGAGACTTTGCATAGACCGTATTGAACTTCAGCTGCATACCATAGTGCGAAAAAGGACAGTATAGAGTGGCATGAAATGATTGTTCTGTCAATTATCTGCTCTGTGGCGTGTAACTGGGCTGTGCAAGAGCTCTGCAGACAATCATTATAACACATTCCACAGGAATTTCTTTTCCAAGTGTGATCTCTTTTGTAGTCAATTTGATCACTATAAAAATTTTCATAATAACCAAGGTAGAACTTGCAGGCATCTCAAAATCTGATCTACCCAGGAATATAGTGTAGGGYGGTAAATATTAGAAATGTAAAAGCTTTGCTGGATCAGATCTGCTGCCTTTGCAATCTACCAATGCAAAATAAATTGTTGGTGCTTTTGTGTACTTGTGTTTTGAAATATACCTATTTTCCATGCTAAAGTTGTTTGGGTAAAAGAAGGACGAGGTTTTTTAATGTTCCTTCTCTGGTTCAAGCCATACAGTTAATCAATTTTCTTCACTTCCATCCTTTTTTTCTCTCCATCTCTGAAAAGACAAATGGTAATATCTGTCTATTCCCCTAGACAGTTATGCTGATTACTTATCACTTACAAAAACATTTCAAACTGAAAGAAGTGTCACAGAGCCTATATGAGACATAATTTGGTCCTTCCCTGTATTTCTTACTTCCATTTTGTGTTGAGAGCCCAGACTCGTTTCTGATAGCTATCATGTTCTGCTCCTTCTCTCATCAATTACTTCAAGAAGCTACTGYCATCCAAGGTTAAGTTTTTAATGATTATTTTAGTTGTGTAATTTTAAGAATGTAAAATCACCCAATTTCATCTTATTCTTGAGATAACTAACTGTAATTATACATGAAAATCATGAAATAAAGCTAGCTAGCTACACTCTAATCCAATTTCAAGGTCTAGTAGAAGAAATSCAGGTCAGTTACCCTTATTTCAAATAGCCTAAGTTGACCTTTTTTTTTTTTTTTCAAGAAAATGGCATAGGCACCAAGTTATGGTGCAGAAGTTTGCATACAAAAAAACTCACTTTTCCTAAAGATATGATAGAACTAAAAAGAAATGAAAGAAATGTGGGGGGTTGGGGTTCTTTTTGTTTGTTTTATTTTTATTGCTGTTGTTGACTGAGAGGTTTGTTTGTTTTTTGAMTATTTGGTCAACAGAGACTCACAATTCAAATCTGAACACACCTAAAAARCATCTGATCAAAAAAAACCCCAACCCAAGTAATTAAACATAACCCCAAAAACTTTGCACTGGACAAAGAATTCAAGGAGAGTGACTAACTTAACCTTTTTAAGGACTTTAAAAGTCAGTAACTGATAAAGGGACAGATAAGGGAACACGTAGGAAATGTGAATAATTAAAAAGGACCAGGAACCAGAGCACACATTGTATATGAGCTTTAATAAAGGTATGATGTTATATCTCATAGCATCCTAACTGAAAAGAGAAAAAAAAAAGGATTTCCACTTGGCTTGGCCATTTCCATATGGCTTTCAAATTATTGAAGTAACGGAATTACAGGAAATAAGCTGCAATGTAGCAAGGTGGTGAGAAGTATCTCCTGGCTAGCATGTGGATGACTGCTAGGAACAGTCTTTGTCTGACTTCTTTATTAATGGTCTGGAAAAGGGAGTGTGCAGCACTTTGATGAAACTCACAGATAAAAGTATGAAAGACAGAAAGATCAGTATACAAAGAAAATAAAAGAGTTTCCTAGAGAATATAGAAGCATGGAAAGAAAACTAAACGAGAGTCAGCTTTGAAAAATGCAGGCTAGGAGGGC